AACTGTCTCAGATGTAACATCAGTGGATTGGATATCAGCCTCAATTGCAGTGACTGTGTCAGATGTAACATCAGTGGATTGGATATCAGCAATAGTTGCAGAGACTGTCTCAGATGTAACATCAGTGGACTGGATATCAGCATATGTGGCAGTGACTGTCTCAGATGTAACATCAGTGGATTGGATATCATCCTCAATTGCAGTGACTGTGTCAGATGTAACATCAGTGGATTGGATATCAGCAATAGTTGCAGTGACTGTCTCAGATGTAACATCAGTTGATTGAATATCAGCATCTGTTGTAGTGACTGTCTCAGATGTTAAACCCGTGGATTGGATATCAGCATATGTTGCTGTGACTGTCTCAGATGTAACAGTATTGGATTGGATATCAGCATCTGTTGCAGTGAATGTCTCAGATGTAACATCAGTGGATTGGATATCAGCATCTGTTGCAGTGACTGTCTCAGATGTAACAGTAGTGGATTGGATATCAGCATCTGTTGTAGTGACTGTCTCAGATTTAACAGTATTGGATTGGATATCAGCATCTGTTGCAGTGACTGTCTCAGATGTAACATCAGTGGATTGGATATCAGCATCTGTTGCAGTAACTGTCTCGGATGTAACATCAGTGGATTGGATATCAGCATCCGTTGTAGTGACTATCTCAGATGTTACATCAGTGTATTGGATATCAGCATCTGTTGCAGTGACTTTCTCAGATGTAACATCAGTGGATTGGATATCAGCATCTGTTGCAGTGACTGTCTCAAATGTAACAGAAGTGGATTGGATATCAGCATCCGTTGCAGTGACTGTCTCAGATGTAACATCAGTGGATTGGATATCAGCATCTGTTGCAGTGACTGTCTCAGATGTAACAGCAGTTGATTGGATCTCAGCATCTGTTGCAGTGACCGTCTCAGATGTAACAGTAGTGGATTGAATATCAGCATCAGTTGTAGTGACTGTCTCAGATGTTACATCCGTGGATTGGATATCAGCATCTGTTGCAGTGACTGTCTCAAATGTAACAGAAGTGGATTGGATATCAGCATCCGTTGCAGTGACTGTCTCAGATGTAACAATAATGGATTCGATATCAACATCCGTTGCAGTGACCATCTCAGATGTACCAGCAGTGGATTGGATATCAGCATCTGTTGCAGTGACCGTCTCAAATGTAGCATCAGTGGATTGAATATCTGCATCAGTTGCAGTGACTGTCTCAGATGTAACATCCGTGGATTGGATATGAGCATCTCTTGCAGTGACTGCCTCAGATGTAACATCGGTGGATTGGATATCAGCATCTGTTGCAGTGACCTTCTCAGATGTAACAGTAGTGGATTGAATATCAGCATCAGTTGCAGTGACTGTCTCAGATGTTACATCCGTGGATTGGATATCAGCATCTGTTGCAGTGACTGTCTCAAATGTAACAGAAGTGGATAGGATATCAGCATCCGTTGCAGTGACTGTCTCAGATGTAACATCAGTGGATTGGATGTCAGCATCCGTTGCAGTGACTGTCTCAGATGTAACATCCGTGGATTGGATATCAGCATCCGTTGTAGTTACTGTCTCAGATGTAACATCAGTGGATTGAATATCAGCATCTGTTGCAGTGACCGTATCAAATGTAACAGTAGATGATAGGATATCAGCATCTGTTGCAGTAACTGTCTCGGATGTAACATCAGTGGATTGGATATCATCATCTGTTGTAGTGACTGTCTCAGATGTAACAGTAGTAGATTGGATATCAGCATCAGTTGCAGTGACCGTATCAAATGTAACAGTAGAGGATTGGATATTAGCATCTGTTGCAGTAACTGTCTCGGATGTAACATCAGTGGATTGGATATCAGCATCTGTTGCAGTAACTGTCTCGGATGTAACATCAGTGGATTGGATATCAGCATCCGTTGTAGTGACTATCTCAGATGTTACATCAGTGAATTGGATATCAGCATCTGTTGCAGTGACTGTCTCAAATGTAACAGAAGTGGATTGGATATCAGCATCCGTTGCAGTGACTGTCTCAGATGTAACAGTAATGGATTCGATATCAACATCCGTTGCAGTGACCATCTCAGATGTACCAGCAGTGGATTGGATATCAGCATCTGTTGCATTGACCGTCTCAAATGTAGCATCAGTGGATTGAATATCTGCATCAGTTGCAGTGACTGTCTCAGATGTAACATCCGTGGATTGGATATGAGCATCTCTTGCAGTGACTGCCTCAGATGTAACATCGGTGGATTGGATATCAGCATCTGTTGCAGTGACCTTCTCAGATGTAACAGTAGTGGATTGAATATCAGCATCAGTTGCAGTGACTGTCTCAGATGTTACATCCGTGGATTGGATATCAGCATCTGTTGCAGTGACTGTCTCAAATGTAACAGAAGTGGATTGGATATCAGCATCCGTTGCAGTGACTGTCTCAGATGTAACATCAGTGGATTGGATGTCAGCATCCGTTGCAGTGACTGTCTCAGATGTAACATCCGTGGATTGGATATCAGCATCTGTTGTAGTGACTGTCTCAGATGTAACAGTAGTAGATTGGATATCAGCATCAGTTGCAGTGACCGTATCAAATGTAACAGTAGAGGATTGGATATTAGCATCTGTTGCAGTAACTATCTCGGATGTAACATCAGTGGATTGGATATCAGCATCCGTTGTAGTGACTATCTCAGATGTTACATCAGTGAATTGGATATCAGCATCTGTTGCAGTGACTTTCTCAGATGTAACATCAGTGGATTGGATATCAGCATCTGTTGCAGTGACTGTCTCAAATGTAACAGAAGTGGATTGGATATCAGCATCCGTTGCAGTGAATGTCTCAGATGTAACATCAGTGGATTGGATATCAGCATCTGTTGCAGTGACTGTCTCAGATGTAACAGCAGTTGATTGGATCTCAGCATCTGTTGCAGTGACCGTCTCAGATGTAACAGTAGTGGATTGAATATCAGCATCAGTTGTAGTGACTGTCTCAGATGTTACATCCGTGGATTGGATATCAGCATCTGTTGCAGTGACTGTCTCAAATGTAACAGAAGTGGATTGGATATCAGCATCCGTTGCAGTGACTGTCTCAGATGTAACAGTAATGGATTCGATATCAACATCCGTTGCAGTGACCATCTCAGATGTAACATCAGTGGATTGGATATCAGCATCTGTTGCAGTGACCTTCTCAAATGTAGCATCAGTGGATTGAATATCTGCATCAGTTGCAGTGACTGTGTCAGATGTAACATCCGTGGATTGGATATGAGCATCTCTTGCAGTGACTGCCTCAGATGTAACATCAGTGGATTGGATATCAGCATCTGTTGCAGTGACCGTCTTAGATGTAACAGTAGTGGATTGAATATCAGCATCAGTTGCAGTGACTGTCTCAGATGTTACATCCGTGGATTGGATATCAGCATCTGTTGCAGTGACTGTCTCAAATGTAACAGAAGTGGATTGCATATCAGCATCCGTTGCAGTGACTGTCTCAGATGTAACATCAGTGGATTGGATATCAGCATCCGTTGCAGTGACTGTCTCAGATGTAACATCCGTGGATTGGATATCAGCATCCGTTGTAGTTACTGTCTCAGATGTAACATCAATGGATTGGATATCAGCATCTGTTGCTGTGACTGTCTCAGATGTAACAGTAGTGGATTGGATATCAGCATCTGTTGTAGTGACTGTCTCAGATGTAACAGTACTGGATTGGATATCAGCATCAGTTGTAGTGACCGTATCAAATGTAGCAGTAGTGGATTGGATATCAGCATCCGTTGTAGTGACTGTCTTAGATGTAACATCAGTGGATTGGATATCAGCATCCGTTGCAGTGACCGTCTCAGATGTAACATCAGGGGATTGAATATCAGCATCAGTTGCAGTAACCGTCTCAGATGTAACATCAGTGGATTGAATATAAGCATCAGTTGCAGTGTCCGTCTCAGATGTAACATCAGTGGATTGGATATCAGCATCCGTTGCAGTGACCATCTCAGATGTAACATCAGTGGATTGGATATCAGCATCCGTTGCAGTGACTGTCTCAGATGTAACATCAGTGGATTGAATATCAGCATCAGTTGCAGTGACTGTCTCAGATGTAACATCAGTGGATTGGATATCAGCATCCGTTGCAGTGACTGTCTCAGATGTAACATCAGTGGATTGAATATCAGCATCAGTTGCAGTGACTGTCTCAGATGTAACATCAGTGGATTGGATATCAGCATCCATTGCAGTGACCGTCTCAGATGTAACATCAGTGGATTGGATATCAGCATCCGTTGCAGTGACTGTCTCATATGTAATATCAGTGGATTTGATATCAACATCCGTTGCAGTGACCGGCTCAGATGTAACATCAGGGGATTGAATATCAGCATCAGTTGCAGTGACTGTCTCATATGTAACATCAGTGGATTGGATATCAACATCCGTTGCAGTGACCGTCTCAGATGTAACATCAGTGGATTGGATATCAGCATCAGTTGCAGTGACTGTCTCATATGTAACATCAGTGGATTGGATATCTACATCCGTTGCAGTGACCGTCTCAGATGTAACATCAGTGGATTGGATATCAGCATCAGTTGAAGTTACTGTCTCAGATGTAACATTAGAGGATTGGATATCAGCATCCTTTGCAGTGACCGTCTCAGATGTTACATCAGTGGATTGAATATCAGCATCCGTTGCAGTGACCGTCTCAGATGTAACATCAGTGGATTGGATATCAGCATCTGTTGCAGTGACTTTCTCAGATGTAACATCAGTGGATTGGATATAAGCATCAGTTGCAGTGACTGTCTCAGATGTAACATCCGTGGATTGGATATCAGCATCTGCTGCAGTGGCTGTCTCAGATGTAACATAAGTCGATTGGATATCAGCATCTGCTGCAGTGACCGTCTCAGATGTAACAGTAGTGGATTGAATATCAGCATCAGTTGCAGTGACTGTCTCAGATGTAACAGTAGTGGATTGGATATCAGCATCCGTTGTAGTGACCGCCTCAGATGTAACATTAGTGGATTGGATATCAGCATCCGTTGCAGTGACCATCTCAAATGTAACATCAGTGGATTGGATATCAGCATCCGTTGCAGTGACCGTCTCAGATGTAACATCAGTGGATTGGATATCAACATCAGTTGCAGTGACTGTCTCAGATGTAACATCAGTGGATTGGATATCAACATCCGTTGCAGTGACCGTCTCAGATGTAACATCAGTGGATTGGATATCAGCATCAGTTGAAGTTACTGTCTCAGATGTAGCAGTAGTGGATTGGATATCAGCTTCCGTTGCAGTGACCGTCTCAGATGTAACATCAGTGGATTGGATATCAGCATCCGTTGCAGTGACCGCCTCAGATCTAACATCCGTGGATTGGATATCAGCATCCGTTGCAGTGACCGTCTCAGATGTAACAGTAGTGGATTGGATATCAGCATCTGTTGCAGTGACTGTCTCAGATGTAGCAGTAGTGGATTGGATATCAGCTTCCGTTGCAGTGACCGTCTCAGATGTAACATCAGTGGATTGGATATCAGCATCCGTTGCAGTGACCGCCTCAGATCTAACATCCGTGGATTGGATATCAGCATCCATTGCAGTGACCGTCTCAGATGTAACATACGTGGATTGGATAACAGCATCTGTTGCAGTGACTGTCTCAGATGTAACAGTAGTGGATTGGATATCAGCATCCGTTGCAGTGACTGTCTCAGATGTAACATCAGTGGATTGAATATCAGCATCAGTTGCAGTGACTGTCTCAGATGTAACATCAGTGGATTGGATATCAGCATCCGTTGCAGTGACTGTCTCAGATGTAACATCAGTGGATTGAATATCAGCATCAGTTGCAGTGACTGTCTCAGATGTAACATCAGTGGATTGGATATCAGCATCCATTGCAGTGACCGTCTCAGATGTAACATCAGTGGATTGGATATCAGCATCCGTTGCAGTGACTGTCTCATATGTAATATCAGTGGATTTGATATCAACATCCGTTGCAGTGACCGGCTCAGATGTAACATCAGGGGATTGAATATCAGCATCAGTTGCAGTGACTGTCTCATATGTAACATCAGTGGATTGGATATCAACATCCGTTGCAGTGACCGTCTCAGATGTAACATCAGTGGATTGGATATCAGCATCAGTTGCAGTGACTGTCTCATATGTAACATCAGTGGATTGGATATCTACATCCGTTGCAGTGACCGTCTCAGATGTAACATCAGTGGATTGGATATCAGCATCAGTTGAAGTTACTGTCTCAGATGTAACATTAGAGGATTGGATATCAGCATCCTTTGCAGTGACCGTCTCAGATGTTACATCAGTGGATTGAATATCAGCATCCGTTGCAGTGACCGTCTCAGATGTAACATCAGTGGATTGGATATCAGCATCTGTTGCAGTGACTTTCTCAGATGTAACATCAGTGGATTGGATATAAGCATCAGTTGCAGTGACTGTCTCAGATGTAACATCCGTGGATTGGATATCAGCATCTGCTGCAGTGGCTGTCTCAGATGTAACATAAGTCGATTGGATATCAGCATCTGCTGCAGTGACCGTCTCAGATGTAACAGTAGTGGATTGAATATCAGCATCAGTTGCAGTGACTGTCTCAGATGTAACAGTAGTGGATTGGATATCAGCATCCGTTGTAGTGACCGCCTCAGATGTAACATTAGTGGATTGGATATCAGCATCCGTTGCAGTGACCATCTCAAATGTAACATCAGTGGATTGGATATCAGCATCCGTTGCAGTGACCGTCTCAGATGTAACATCAGTGGATTGGATATCAACATCAGTTGCAGTGACTGTCTCAGATGTAACATCAGTGGATTGGATATCAACATCCGTTGCAGTGACCGTCTCAGATGTAACATCAGTGGATTGGATATCAGCATCAGTTGAAGTTACTGTCTCAGATGTAGCAGTAGTGGATTGGATATCAGCTTCCGTTGCAGTGACCGTCTCAGATGTAACATCAGTGGATTGGATATCAGCATCCGTTGCAGTGACCGCCTCAGATCTAACATCCGTGGATTGGATATCAGCATCCGTTGCAGTGACCGTCTCAGATGTAACAGTAGTGGATTGGATATCAGCATCTGTTGCAGTGACTGTCTCAGATGTAGCAGTAGTGGATTGGATATCAGCTTCCGTTGCAGTGACCGTCTCAGATGTAACATCAGTGGATTGGATATCAGCATCCGTTGCAGTGACCGCCTCAGATCTAACATCCGTGGATTGGATATCAGCATCCATTGCAGTGACCGTCTCAGATGTAACATACGTGGATTGGATAACAGCATCTGTTGCAGTGACTGTCTCAGATGTAACAGTAGTGGATTGGATATCAGCATCCGTTGCAGTGACCGTCTCAGATGTAACAGTAGTGGATTGGATATCAGCATCCGTTGCAGTGACTGTCTCAGATGTAACTGTAGTGGATTGGATATCAGCATCCGTTGTAGTTACTGTCTCAGATGTAACATCAGTGGATTGGATATCAGCATCTGTTGCTGTGACTGTCTCAGATGTAACAGTAGTGGATTGGATATCAGCATCCGTTGTAGTTACTGTCTCAGATGTAACAGTACTGGATTGGATATCAGCATCAGTTGCAGTGACCGTATCAAATGTAGCAGTAGTGGATTTGATATCAGCATCCGTTGTAGTGACTGTCTTAGATGTAACATCAGTGGATTCGATATCAGCATTCGTTGCAGTGACCGTCTCAAATGTAACATCAGTGGATTGGATATTAGAATCTGTTGCATTGACTGTCTCAGATGTAACAGTAGTGGATTGGATATCAGCATCCGTTGTAGTGACTGTCTCAGATGTTACATCAGTCAATTGGATATCGGCATCTGTTGCAGTGACTGTCTCAGATTTAACAGTAGCGGATTGGATATCAACATCTGTTGTAGTGACTGTCTCAGATGTAACAGTAGTGGATTGGATATCAGCATCAGTTGCAGTGACTGTCTCAGATGTAACAGTAGTGGATTGGATATCAGCATCCGTTGTAGTGACTGTCTCAGATGTTACATCAGTGAATTGGATATCGGCATCTGTTGCAGTGACTGTCTCAGATGTAACAGTAGCGGATTGGATATCAACATCTGTTGTAGTGACTTTCTCAGATGTAACATTAGTGGATTGGATATCAGCATCAGTTGCAGTGACTCTCTCAGATGTAACATTCGTTGATTGGATATCAGCATTCGTTGTAGTTACTGTCTCAGATGTAACATTAGTGGATTGAATATCAGCATCAGTTGCAGTGACTCTCTCAGATGTAACATCCGTGGATTTGATATCTGCATCCGTTGTAGTGACTGTCTCAGATGTAACATTAGTGGATTGGATATCAGCATCAGTTTCAGTGACCGTCTCAGATGTAACATCAGTGGATTCGATATCAGCATCCGTTGTAGTGACTGTCTCAGATGTAACATTAGTGGATTGGATATCAGCATCAGTTTCAGTGACCGTCTCAGATGTAACATCAGTGGATTTGATATCAACATCCGTTGCAGTGACCGTCTCAGATGTAACAGCAGTGGATTGAATATCAGCATCAGTTGCAGTGACTGTCTCAGATGTAACAGTACTGGATTGGATATCAGCATCAGTTGCAGTGACCGTATCAAATGTAGCAGTAGTGGATTGGATATCAGCATCCGTTGCAGTGACTGTCTCAGATGTAACAGTACTGGATTGGATATCAGCATCAGTTGCAGTGACTGTCTCAGATGTAACAGTAGTGGATTGGATATCAGCATCTGTTGCAGTGACTGTCTCAGATGTAACAGTAGTTGATTGGATATCAGCATCCGTTGCAGTGTCTGTCTTAGATGTTATATCGGTGGATTCAATATCAGCATCAGTTGCAGTGACCGGTTCAAATGTAACATCAGTGGATTGGATATCAGCATGCGTTGCAGTGACTGTCTCAGATGTAACATCAGTGGATTGAATATCAGCATCTGTTGTAGTGACTGTCTCAGATGTAACATCAGTGGATTGGGTATCAGCATCTTTTGCTGTGACTGTCTCAGATGTAACAGTAGTGGATTGAATATCAGCATCTGTTGTAGTGACTGTCTCAGATGTAACATCAGTTGATTGGATATCAGCATCTGTTGTAGTGACTGTCTCAGATGTAACATCAGTGGATTGGGTATCAGCATCTTTTGCTGTGACTGTCTCAGATGTAACAGTAGTGGATTGAATATCAGCATCTGTTGTAGTGACTGTCTCAGATGTAACAGTAGTCGATTGAATATCAGCATCTGTTGTAGTGACTGTCTCAGATGTTACATCCGTGGATTGGATATCAGCATCTGTTGTAGTGACTGTCTCAGATGTAACATCAGTGGATTGAATATCAGCATCTGTTGTAGTGACTGTCTCAGATGTAACATCAGTGGATTGGGTATCAGCATCTTTTGCTGTGACTGTCTCAGATGTAACAGTAATGGATTGAATATCAGCATCTGTTGTAGTGACTGTCTCAGATGTAACATCAGTGGATTGAATATCAGCATCTGTTGTAGTGACTGTCTCAGATGTAACATCAGTGGATTGGGTATCAGCATCTTTTGCTGTGACTGTCTCAGATGTAACAGTAGTGGATTGAATATCAGCATCTGTTGCAGTGACTGTGTCAGATGTAACATCAGTGGATTGCATATCAGCATCTGTTGTAGTGACTGTCTCAGATGTAACATCAGTTGATTGGATATCAGCATCAGTTGCAGTGACCTTCTCAAATGTAACATCAGTGGATTGGATATCAGCATCTGTTGCAGTGACTGTCTCAGATGTAACATCCGTGGATTCGATATCAGCATCCGTTGCAGTTACCGTCTCAAATGTAACATCAGTGGATTGGATATCAGCATCCGTTGCAGTGACTGTCTCAGATGTAACATCAGTGGATTGGATATCAGCATTAGTTGCAGTGACTGTCTTAGATGTTATATCCGTGGATTGGATATCAGCATCCGTTCCAGTGACTGTCTCAGATGTAACAGTAGTGGATTGGATATCAGCATGCGTTGCAGTGACTGTCTCAGATGTAACATCAGTGGATTGGATATCAGCATCTGTTGTAGTGACTGTCTCAGATGTAACATCAGTGGATTGAATATCAGCATCCGTTGCAGTGACTGTCTCAGATGTAACATCAGTGGATTGGATATCAGCATCAGTTGCAGTGACCGTCTCAAATGTAACATCAGTGGATTGAATATCAGCATCCGTTGCAGTGACTGTCTCAGATGTAACATCAGTGGATTGGATATCAGCATCAGTTGCAGTGACTGTCTCAGATGTAATATCCGTGGAATGGATATCAGCATCCGTTGCAGTGACTGTCTCAGATGTTACATCCGTGGATCGGATATCAGCATCAGTTGCAGTGACTGTCTCAGATGAAACAGACGTGGATTGAATATCAGCATCAGTTGCAGTGACCGTCTCAAATGTAACATCAGTGGATTGAATATCAGCATCCGTTGCAGTGACTGTCTCAGATGTAACATCAGTGGATTGGATATCAGCATCAGTTGCAGTGACTGTCTCAGATGTAATATCCGTGGAATGGATATCAGCATCCGTTGCAGTGACTGTCTCAGATGAAACAGTAGTGGATTGGATATCAGCATCCGTTGTAGTGACCGTCTCAGATGTAACATCAGTGGATTGGATATCAACATCCGTTACAGTGACTGTCTCAGATGTAACATTAATGGATTGAATATCAGCATCAGTTGCAGTGACGGTCTCAGATGTAACATCTGTGGATTGAATATCAGCATCCGTTGTAGTTACTGTCTCAGATGTTACATCCGTCGATTTGATATCAGCATCCGTTGTCGTGACTGTCTCAGATGTAACATTAGTGGATTGGATATCAGCATCAGTTGCAGTGACCGTCTCAGATGTAACATCAGTGGATTCGTTATCAGCATCCGTTGCAGTGACCGTCTCAAATGTAACATCAGTGGATTGGATATCAGCATCCGTTGCAGTGACTGTCTCAGATGTAACATCAGTGGATTGGATATCAGCACCAGTTGCAGTGACTGTCTTAGATGTAATATCCGTGGATTGGATATCAGCATCCGTTCCAGTGACTGTCTCAGATGTAACAGTAGTGGATTGGATATCAGCATGCGTTGCAGTGATTGTCTCAGATGTAACATCAGTCGATTGAATATCAGCATCTGTTGTAGTGACTGTCTCAGATGTTACATCCGTGGATTGGATATCAGCATCAGTTGCAGTGACTGTCTCAGATGAAACAGTCGTGGATTGAATATCAGCATCAGTTGCAGTGACTGTCTCAGATGTTACTTCCGTGGATTGGATATCAGCATCTGTTGCAGTGACTGTCTCAGATGTAACAGTAGTGGATTGGATATCAGCATGCGTTGTAGTGCCTGTCTCAGATGTTACATCCGTGGATTGGATATCAGCATCAGTTGCAGTGACTGTCTCAGATGAAACAGTCGTGGATTGAATATCAGCATCAGTTGCAGTGACTGTCTCAGATGTTACATCCGTGGATTGGATATCAGCATCTGTTGCAGTGACTGTCTTAGATGTAACAGAAGTGGATTGGATATCAGCATCCGTTGTAGTGACTGTCTCGGATGTAACAGTAGTGGATTCGATATCAGCATCTGTTGCAGTGACCGTCTTAGTTGTCACTACAGTTAATTGAATATCAGCATCCGTTGCAGTGACCCTCTCAGATGTAACACCAGTTGTTGATATATTATTAGCATCAGTTACTGTGACAGTCTCAATAGTAACATCAGCATCAGTTGTAATGACTGTCGCTAAAGTAACATCAGTGACTCTATCATCAGCATCAGTTATATCGATTGTATTAGATGTTACCTCTGTGATTATCGTTGCATGATCAACTGAAATTATATTTTTATGATTAGATATTCATATCTCACACATTTACACATTTGTACAATATGCATATTGATATTGCATTTTCGTTTTGCATTGTGTGAATATAGTTCTATGTTTAGGTACATTTATGTGCAGGGTGTCCCGAAAAATTGGGACCCCCTAGGCAGACATATACCGATGACTCCATAGCACGTGTCATATAAGTCATATATCATTTCGAAGTTTATCAAAGGTTACATTGATTTGTCAAGTATCATGGTTCAACTCAAAATCTAAAAAAGTTACAGGAATTTAACTTCAGTTTAGTATCCCGGAAACAGTTCTGACATGAATGTTACCGAAAATCTGGGTGTTTTTGTTAAAGATAGGAGGGATATTGAGAAAAGAGTGAGTGTAAAACCTAAAAAAAACTCTAGAATGCTTTAAAAAAGATCTTTGTGACAATTGTATGGCAGGACCCCTTAGATATATCCAGTAAATCACTTATTTCCTCTAATGAAATATGTCTGTCCTGCTCGATAAGAACTTTTAACATGGTACCCACCACTCTGGTTACCATAGCAACCATATCTCAAGAACCAATCAAAATTGAGGTCCCAAATTTTAACATATAATGTATAAATGTATAACACACATGTGTTCCAAGTTTCATTGTAAAAGTCCTTTTTTCCTTGAAGTTATGGCATCAACTGCAAAACTTTTTGAACCACCTAAGTATGAGGATTACAAGATATTTGAAGTATTTTTAAGGGCATACCCAAAAGAATTGCTGATGTCAACATGGCCAAGGGGGTACAAAGCGACTAATAATTTGTTGTAAATCGATCTCCAATTTTGGCCAAATTTAAACTCCTGAAAAAATTTTTCCACTTGAGGGTCGAACCACGATATTTGGCAAATCAATGCAACATTGGATAAGCTTTAAAATGATATATGACACATCGTATGAGGACATTGGTATTTGTCTGCCTAAAGGGGAGGGAGTCCCATGCTTTTGGGATATCTTGTACATATGTACTGAATTTAACAATAAAAAGGATTTTTTGAAAATGTAATTTTCTTGTTTTGCAATAATAACGTAAACGTAAAACTACATGACATGATTACATGGTTATGACTTAACCAAAGATGTCGCTTTTTAGGAATGATGGAAAAAGTAAAAATGGACATAAGCGATAAGCAGTTATGAAAGCAAAGATAAAAGCAAGCAGAGAAAAAATTTATAATGGTTGCAAATGATATATAATATACAATATACTATTTACCAGATGCTGTTGCTAGTAATTCACTGGTTATAGGTCTACCAGTACTATACGTATCATACTCTATTGTGGGTACCTCATCAGTAGTAATGGGCCTCTCAGAAGTAAAATCAGTTGTAAGCTCAGCTTCAGTTACAGTGACTATCTCTGAAGTAACATCAGTGGTGACCTCAGCATCAACTGCACTGAATGTATCTAATGTAACATCAGTTGAGACCTTAGCATCAGTTGAAGTGACTGTCTCTGAAGTAACATCAGTTGTTACCTCACCATCAGTTGTAGTGACTGTCTTTGAAGTAACATCAGTTGATACCTCACCATCAGTTGTAGTGACTGTCTTTGAAGTAACATCAGTTGAGACCTCACCATCAGTTGTAGTGACTGTCTCTGTAGTAACATCAGTTGAGACCTCACCATCAGTTGTAGTGACTGTCTCTGTAGTAAAATCAGTTGTGACTTCAGCATCAGTTGCAGTGACTGTCTCTGTATTAACATCAGTTGTGACCTCAGCATTAGTAGTACCGTCTGTCTCTGAAGTAGCATCACTTGTGACCTCAGCATCAGTTGTGACCTCACCATCAGTTGTAGTGACTGTCTCTGAAGTAACATCAGTTGTGACCCCAGAATCAGTTGTAGTGACTGTTTCTGAAGTAACATCAATTGTGACATCACCATCAGTTGTAGTGACTGTCTCTGTAATAACATCAATTGTGACATCAGCATTAGTTGTACTGTCTGTCTCTGATGTAACATCAGTTGTTACCTCACCGTCAGTTGTAGTGACTGTTTCTCTAGTAACATCAGTTGAGACCTCACCATCAGTTGAAGTGACTGTCTCTGTAGTAACATCAGTTGTGACCTCACCATCAGTTGTCGTGACTGTCTTTGAAATAACATCAGTTGAGACCTCACCATCAGTTGTAGTGACTGTCTTTGAAGTAACATCAGTTGATACCTCACCATCAGTTGTATTGAATGTCTTTGAAATAACATCAGTTGAGACCTCACCATCAGTTGTAGTGACTGTCTCTGATGTAACATCAGTTGAGACCTCACCATCAGTTGTAGTGACTGTCTCTGATGTAACATCAGTTGTGACTTCAGCATCAGTTGTAGTGACTGTCTCTGGTGTAACATCAGTTGAGACCTCACCATCAGTCGTACTGTCTGTCTCTGAAGTAACATCAGTTGAGACCTCACCATCAGTTGTAGTGACTGTCTCTGTAGTAACATCAGTTGTTACCTCACCATCAGATGTACTGTCTGTCTCTGTAGTAACATCAGTTGTGAACTCACCATCAGTTGTAGTGACTGTCTCTGTAGTAACATCAGTTGTTACCTCACCATCAGTTGTAGTGACTGTCTCTGAAGTAACATCAGTTGTTACCTCACCATCAGTTGTAGTGATTTTCTCTGAAGTAACATCAGTTGCTACCTCACCATTAGTTGTAGTGTCTGTTTCTGTAGTAACATCAGTTGTTAACTCACCATCAGTTGTAGTGACTGTCTCTGAAGTAACATCAGTTGTTACCTGACCACTAGTTGTAGTGTCTGTATCTGTAGTAACATCAGTTGAGACCTCACCATCAGTTGTAGTGACTGTCTCTGTAGTAACATCAGTTGAGACCTCACCATCAGTTGTACGGACTCTATCTGAAGTAACATCAGTTGTGACCTCAGTATCAGTTGTAGTGACTGTCTCTGAAGTAACATCAGTTGAGACCTCACCATCAGTTATAGTGACTGTCTCTGATGTAACATCAGTTGAGACCTCAGCATCAGTTGTAGTGACTTTCTCTGTAGTAAAATCAGTTGTGACCTCACCATCAGTTGTAGTGACTGTCTCTGTAGTGACATCAGTTGTTACCTCACCATCAGTTGTAGTGACTGTCTCTGAAGTAACCACAGTTGAGACCTCACTATCAGTTAAAGTGACTGTCTCTGATGTAACATCAGTTGACACTTCAGCATCAGTTGTAGTGACTGTCTCTGTAGTAACATCAGTTGTTACCTCACCATCAGTTGTAGTGACTGTCTCTGTAGTGACAACAGTTGAGATCTCACCATCAGCTATAGTGACTGTCTCTGATGTAACATCAGTTGAGACCTCACCATCAGTTGTAGTGACTGTCTCTGTAGTAACATTAGTTTTTACCTCACCATCAGTTGTAGTGACTGTCTCTGAAGTAACATCAGTTGTGACCTCATCACCAGTTGTAGTGACTGTCTCAGTAGTAACATCAGTTGTTACCTCACCATCAGTTGTAGTGACTGCCTCTGTAGTAACATCAGTTGTTACCTCACCATCAGTTGTAGTGACTGTCTCTGTAGTAACATCAGTTTTGACCTCAGCATCAGTTGTAGTGACTATCTCTGATGTAACATCAATTGTTACCTCACCATCAGTTGTAGTGACTGTCTCTGTAGTAACATCAGTTTTGACCTCAGCATCAGTTGTAGTGACTGTCTCTGATGTAACATCAGTTGAGACCTCACCATCAGTTGTAGTGACTGTCTTTGAAGTAACATCAGTTGAGACCTCAACATCAGTTGTAGTGACTGTCTCTGTAGTAACATCAGTTGAGACCTCACCATCAGTTGTAGTGACTGTCTCTGTAGTAACATCAGTTGTGACTTCAGCATCAGTTGCAGTGACTGTCTCTGTATTAACATCAGTTGTGACCTCAGCATTAGTAGTACCGTCTGTCTCTGAAGTAGCATCACTTGTGACCTCAGCATCAGTTGTGACCTCACCATCAGTTGTAGTGACTGTCTCTGAAGTAACATCAGTTGTGACCCCAGAATCAGTTGTAGTGACTGTTTCTGAAGTAACATCAATTGTGACATCACCATCAGTTGTAGTGACTGTCTCTGTAATAACATCAATTGTGACATCAGCATTAGTTGTACTGTCTGTCTCTGATGTAACATCAGTTGTTACCTCACCGTCAGTTGTAGTGACTGTTTCTCTAGTAACATCAGTTGAGACCTCACCATCAGTTGAAGTGACTGTCTCTGTAGTAACATCAGTTGTGACCTCACCATCAGTTGTCGTGACTGTCTTTGAAATAACATCAGTTGAGACCTCACCATCAGTTGTAGTGACTGTCTTTGAAGTAACATCAGTTGATACCTCACCATCAGTTGTATTGAATGTCTTTGAAATAACATCAGTTGAGACCTCACCATCAGTTGTAGTGACTGTCTCTGATGTAACATCAGTTGAGACCTCACCATCAGTTGTAGTGACTGTCTCTGATGTAACATCAGTTGTGACTTCAGCATCAGTTGTAGTGACTGTCTCTGGTGTAACATCAGTTGAGACCTCACCATCAGTCGTACTGTCTGTCTCTGAAGTAACATCAGTTGAGACCTCACCATCAGTTGTAGTGACTGTCTCTGTAGTAACATCAGTTGTTACCTCACCATCAGATGTACTGTCTGTCTCTGTAGTAACATCAGTTGTGAACTCACCATCAGTTGTAGTGACTGTCTCTGTAGTAACATCAGTTGTTTCCTCACCATCAGTTGTAGTGACTGTCTCTGAAGTAACATCAGTTGTTACCTCACCATCAGTTGTAGTGATTTTCTCTGAAGTAACATCAGTTGCTACCTCACCATTAGTTGTAGTGTCTGTTTCTGTAGTAACATCAGTTGTTAACTCACCATCAGTTGTAGTGACTGTCTCTGAAGTAACATCAGTTGTTACCTGACCACTAGTTGTAGTGTCTGTATCTGTAGTAACATCAGTTGAGACCTCACCATCAGTTGTAGTGACTGTCTCTGTAGTAACATCAGTTGAGACCTCACCATCAGTTGTACGGACTCTATCTGAAGTAACATCAGTTGTGACCTCAGTATCAGTTGTAGTGACTGTCTCTGAAGTAACATCAGTTGAGACCTCACCATCAGTTATAGTGACTGTCTCTGATGTAACATCAGTTGAGACCTCAGCATCAGTTGTAGTGACTTTCTCTGTAGTAAAATCAGTTGTGACCTCACCATCAGTTGTAGTGACTGTCTCTGTAGTGACATCAGTTGTTACCTCACCATCAGTTGTAGTGACTGTCTCTGAAGTAACCACAGTTGAGACCATACTATCAGTTAAAGTGACTGTCTCTGATGTAACATCAGTTGACACTTCAGCATCAGTTGTAGTGACTGTGTCTGTAGTAACATCAGTTGTTACCTCACCATCAGTTGTAGTGACTGTCTCTGTAGTGACAACAGTTGAGATCTCACCATCAGCTATAGTGACTGTCTCTGATGTAACATCACTTGAGACCTCACCATCAGTTGTAGTGACTGTCTCTGTAGTAACATTAGTTTTTACCTCACCATCAGTTGTAGTGACTGTCTCTGAAGTAACATCAGTTGTGACCTCATCAACAGTTGTAGTGACTGTCTCAGTAGTAACATCAGTTGTTACCTCACCATCAGTTGTAGTGACTGCCTCTGTAGTAACATCAGTTGTTACCTCACCATCAGTTGTAGTGACTGTCTCTGTAGTAACATCAGTTTTGACCTCAGCATCAGTTGTAGTGACTGTCTCTGATGTAACATCAATTGTTACCTCACCATCAGTTGTAGTGACTGTCTCTGTAGTAACATCAGTTTTGACCTCAGCATCAGTTGTAGTGACTTTCTCTGATGTAACATCAGTTGAGACCTCACCATCAGTTATAGTGACTGTCTCTGATGTAACATCAGTTGTGACCTCACCATCAGTTGTACTGTCTGTCTCTGAAGTAACATCAGTTGTTACATCACCATCAGTTTTAGTGAATGTCTCTGTAGTAACATCAGTTCTTACCTCACCATCTGTTGTAGTGATTGTCTCTGTAGTAACATCAGTTGTGACCTCACCATCAGTTGTAGTGACTGTCTCTGGAGTAACATCAGTTGAGACCTCACCATCAGTTGTAGTGATTTTCTCTGAAGTAACATCAGTTGCTACCTCACCATAAGTTGTAGTGTCTGTCTGTGTAGTAACATCAGTTGTTAACTCACCATCAGTTGTAGTGACTGTCTCTGAAGTAACATCAGTTGTTACCTGACCACTAGTTGTAGTGTCTGTATCTGTAGTAACATCAGTTGAGACCTCACCATCAGTTGTAGTGACTGTCTCTGTAGTAAAATCAGTTGAGACCTCACCATCAGTTGTACGGACTCTATCTGAAGTAACATCAGTTGTGACCTCAGTATCAGTTGTAGTGACTGTCTCTGAAGTAACATCAGTTGAGACCTCACCATCAGTTTTAGTGAATGTCTCTGTAGTAACATCAGTTCTTACCTCACCATCTGTTGTAGTGATTGTCTCTGTAGTAACATCAGTTGTGACCTCACCATCAGTTGTAGTGACTGTCTCTGTAGTAACATCAGTTGAGACCTCACCATCAGATGAAGTGACTGTCTCTGATGTAACATCAGTTGAGACCTCATCATCAGTTGTAGTGACTGTCTCTGTAGTAACATCAGTTGTGACCTCACCATCAGTTGTAGTGACTGTCTCTGGAGTAACATCAGTTGAGACCTCACCATCAGTTGTTGTGACTGACTCTGAATTAACATCAATTGTGACCTCAGTATCAGTTGTAGTGACTGTCTCTGATGTAACATCAGTTGAGACCTCACCATCAGTTGTAGTGACTGTCTCTGTAGTAACATCAGTTGAGACCTCACCATCAGTTGTAGTGACTGTCTCTGTAGTAACATCAGTTGTTACCTCACCATCAGTTGTAGTGATTGTCTCTGAAGTAACATCAGTTGTGACCTCACCATCAGTTGTAGTGACTGTCTCTGTAGTAATATCAGTTGTTACCTCATTATCAGTTGTAGGGACTCTATCTGAAGTTACATCAGTTGTGACCTCAGTATCTGTTGTAGTGACTGTCTCTGAAGTAACATCAGTTGAGACCTCACCATCAGTTGTAGTGACTGTCTCTGTAGTAACATCAGTTGTTTCCTCACCATCAGTTGTAGGGACTGTCTCTGTAGTAACATCAGTTGAGACCTCACCATCAGATGAAGTGACTGTTTCTGATGTAATATCAGTTGTTACCTCACCATCAGTTGTACTATCTGTCTCTGTAGTAACATCAGTTGTGACCTCACCATCAGTTGTAGTGACTGTCTCTTTAGTAACATCAGTTGTGACCTCAGCATCAGTTGTAGTGACTGCCTCTGATGTAACATCAGTTGAGACCTCACCATCAGTTGTGGTGAATGTCTCTGTAGTAACATCAGTTGAGACCTCACCATCAGTTGTACTGTCTGTCTCTGATGTAACATCAGTTGTTACCTCACCATCAGTTGTAGTGACTGCCTCTGTAGTAACATCAGCTGTTACCTCACCATCAGTTGTAGTGACTGTCTCTGAAGTAACATCACTTGTGACCTCACTACCAGTTGTAGTGACTGTCTCTGTAGCAGCATCAGTTGTTACCTCACCATCAGTTGTAGTGATTTTCTCTGAAGTAACATCAGTTGTGACCTCACCATCAGTTGTAGTGACTGTCTCGGTAGTAACATCAGTTGTGACCTCAGCATCAGTTGTAGTGACTGTCTCTGTAGTAACATCAGTTTTTACCTCACCATCAGTTGTAGTGACTATCTCTGAAGTAACATCAGTTGTGACCTCACCATCAGATGTAGTGACTGTCTCTGTAGTAACATCAGTTGAGACCTCCCCATCAGTTGTAGTGACTGTCTCTGTAGTAACATCAGATTTTACCTCACCATCAGTTGTAGTGAATGTCTCTGAAGTAACATCAGTTGTGACCTCACCATCAGCTGTAGTGACTGTCTCTGGAGTAACATCAGTTGTAACCTCACCATCAGTTGTAGGGACTATATCTGAAGTTACATCAGTTGTGACCTCAGTATCAGTTGTAGTGACTATCTCCGATGTAACATCAGTTGAGACCTCACCATCAGTTGTAGTGACTGTCTCTGTAGTAACATCAGTTGTTACCTCACCATCAGTTGTAGGGACTCTATCTGAAGTAACATCAGTTGTGACCTCACCATCAGTTGTAGTGACTGTCTCTGTAGTAACATCAGTTGAGACCTCACCATCAGTTGTAGTGACTGTCTCTGTAGTAACATTAGTTTTTACCTCACCATCAGTTGTAGTGACTGTCTCTGAAGTAACATCAGTTGTGACCTCATCACCAGTTGTAGTGACTGTCTCTGATGTAACATCAGTTGTTACCCCATCTTCAGTTGTAGTGACTGTCTCTGTAGTAACATCAGTTGAGACATCACCATCAGTTGTAGTGACTGTCTCTGTAGTAACATCAGTTTTTACCTCACCATCAGTTGTAGTGACTGTCTCTGAAGTAACATCACTTGTGACCTCACTACCAGTTGTAGTGATTGTCTCTGTAGTAGCATCAGTTGTTACCTCACCATCAGTTGTAGGGACTCTATATGTAGTAACATCAGTTGTGACCTCACCATCAGCTGTAGTGACTGTCTCTGTAGTAACATCAGTTGTAGCCTCACCATCAGTTGTAGGGACTATATCTGAAGTTACATCAGTCGTGACCTCAGTATCAGTTGTAGTGACTGTCTCCGATGTAACATCAGTTGAGACCTCACCATCAGTTGTAGTGACTGTCTCTGTAGTAACATCAGTTGTTACCTCACCATCAGTTGTAGGGACTCTATCTGAAGTAACATCAGTTATGACCTCAGTATCAGTTCTAGTGACTGTCTCTGTAGTAACATCAGTTGTTACCTCACCATCTGTTGTAATGACTGTCAGTTCACCATCAGTTGTAGTGACTGTCTCTGATGTAACATCAGTTGTGACCTCACCATCAGTTGTAGTGACTGTCTCTGTAGTCATATCAGTTGTGACCTCAGCATCAGTTGTAGTGACTGTCTCTGTAGTAACATCAGTTTTTACCTCACCATTAGTTGTAGTGACTGTCTCTGAAGTAACATCAGTTGTGACCTCACCATCAGTTGTAGTGACTGTCTCTGTAGTAACATCAGTTGATACCTCCCCATCAGTTGTAGTGACTGTCTCTGTAGTAACATGAGATTTTACCTCATCATCAGTTGTAGTGAATGTCTCTGAAGTAACATCAGTTGTGACCTCACCATCAGCTGTAGTGACTGTCTCTGTAGTAACATCAGTTGTTACCTCACCATCAGTTTTAGGGACTCTATCTGAAGTAACATCAGTTGTTACCTCACCACCAGTTGTAGTGACTGTCTCTGATGTAACATCAGTTGTTACCCCACCTTCAGTTGTAGTGACTGTCTCTGTAGTAACAACAGTTGAGACCTCACCATCAGTTGTAGTGACTGTCTCTGTAGTAAGATCAGTTTTTACCTCACCATCAGTTGTAGTGACTGTCTCTGAAGTAACATCACTTGTGACCTCACTACCAGTTGTAGTGACTGTCTCTGTAGCAGCATCAGTTGTTACCTCACCATCAGTTGTATGGACTCTATATGTAGTAACATCAGTTGTGACCTCACCATCAGCTGTAGTGACTGTCTCTGTAGTAACATCAGTTGTAGCCTCACCATCAGTTGTAGGGACTATATCTGAAGTTATATCAGTCGTGACCTCAGTATCAGTTGTAGTGACTGTCTCCGATGTAACATCAGTTGAGACCTGACCATCAGTTGTAGTGACTGTCTCTGTAGTAACATCAGTTGTTACCTCACCATCAGTTGTAGGGATTCTATCTGAAGTAACATCAATTATGACCTCAGTATCAGTTGTGGTGACTGTCTCTGTAGTAACATCAGTTGTTACCTCACCATCTGTTGTAATGACTGTCAGTTCACCATCAGTTGTAGTTACTGTCTCTGATGTAACATCAGTTGTGACCTCACCATCAGTTGTAGTGACTGTCTCGGTAGTAACATCAGTTGTGACCTCAGCATCAGTTGTAGTGACTGTCTCTGTAGTAACATCAGTTTTTACCTCACCATCAGTTGTAGTGACTGTCTCTGAAGTAACATCAGTTGTGACCTCACCATCAGATGTAGTGACTGTCTCTGTAGTAACATCAGTTGAGACCTCCCCATCAGTTGTAGTGACTGTCTCTGTAGTAACATCAGATTTTACCTCACCATCAGTTGTAGTGAATGTCTCTGAAGTAACATCAGTTGTGACCTCACCATCAGCTGTAGTGACTGTCTCTGTAGTAACATCAGTTGTAACCTCACCATCAGTTGTAGGGACTATATCTGAAGTTACATCAGTTGTGACCTCACCATCAGCTGTAGTGACTGTCTCTGTAGTAACATCAGTTGTAGCCTCACCATCAGTTGTAGGGACTATATCTGAAGTTACATCAGTCGTGACCTCAGTATCAGTTGTAGTGACTGTCTCCGATGTAACATCAGTTGAGACCTCACCATCAGTTGTAGTGACTGTCTCTGTAGTAACATCAGTTGTGACCTCATCACCAGTTGTAGTGATTGTCTCTGATGTAACATCAGTTGTTACCCCATCTTCAGTTGTAGTGACTGTCTCTGTAGTAACATCAGTTTTTACCTCACCATCAGTTGTAGTGACTGTCTCTGAAGTAACATCACTTGTGACCTCACTACCAGTTGTAGTGACTGTCTCTATAGTAGCATCAGTTGTTACCTCACCATCAGTTGTAGGGACTCTATATGTAGTAACATCAGTTGTGACCTCACCATCAGCTGTAGTGACCGTCTCTGTAGTAACATCAGTTGTAGCCTCACCATCAGTTGTAGGGACTATACCTGAAGTTACATCAGTCGTGACCTCAGTATCAGTTGTAGTGACTGTCTCCGATGTAACATCAGTTGA